TCAAAACCACAATGAGGTACCACCTCACACCAGTCAGAATGGCCAAAATTACCAAGTCAGGAAACGACAGATGTTGGCAGGGATGTGGAGAAAGGGGAACCTTCCTACACAATTAGTGGGAATGCAAGGTGGTGCAGCCATTCTGGAAAACAGTATGGAGGTTCCTCAAAAAGTTGAAAATAGAGCTACCCTATGCCCCAGCAATTGCACTACTGGGTATTTACCCCAAAGATACAAATGTAGTGATCTGAAGGGGCATGTGCACCCCAATGTTTATAGCAGCAATGTCCACAATAGCCAAACTATGGAAAGAGCCTAGATATCCACCAACAGGTGAATGGATAAAGAAGATGTGGTATATATATATACAATGGAATATTATGCAGCCATCAAAAAATGAAATCTTGCCATTTGCAATGACATGGATGGAACTAGAGGGTATTATGCTAAGTGAAATAAGTCAATCAGAGAAAGACAATTATCGTATGATCTCACTGATATGAGGAATTTGAGAAACAAGACAGAGAATCATAGGGGAAGCGAGGGAAAAATGAAACAAGATGAAACCAGAGAGCTTTTCCGAGCTACCCGGGGAAGGGTCCATACGGTGTTGTTTTGTGTTCCCGTCGTAACTTAAAGGGAAACTTTCACAATGTCCGAAGCCCTTGATGTCCTGCAAATGAAGGAGGAGGATGTCCTCAAATTCCTTGCAGCAGGAACCCATTTAGGTGGCACCAACCTTAACTTTCAAATCGAACAGTACATCTACAAAAGGAAAAGTGATGGTATCTACATCATAAATCTGAAGAGAACCTGGGAGAAGCTTCTGCTGGCAGCTCGTGCCATTGTTGCCATTGAAAACCCAGCTGATGTCAGTGTCATATCGTCCAGGAATACTGGCCAGCGAGCTGTGCTGAAATTTGCTGCTGCTACCGGAGCCACTCCTATTGCAGGCCGCTTCACTCCTAGAACCTTCACTAACCAGATCCAGGCAGCCTTCCAGGAGCCAAGACTTCTGGTGGTTACTGATCCCAGGGCTGACCACCAGCCTCTTACAGAGGCGTCCTATGTTAACCTGCCTACCATTGCTCTGTGTAACACAGACTCTCCTCTGTGCTATGTGGACATTGCCATCCCTTGCAACAACAAGGGAGCTCACTCAGTGGGTCTGATGTGGTGGATGCTGGCCAGGGAAGTTCTGCGCCTGCATGGCACCATTTCCCAAGAACACCCATGGGAGGTCATGCCTGATCTCTACTTCTACAGAGATCCTGAAGAGATTGAAAAGGAAGAGCAGGCCGCTGCTGAAAAGGCTGTGACCAAGGAGGAATTTCAGGGTGAATGGACAGCTCTAGCTCCTGAGTTCACTGCTACTCAGCCAGAAGTCACAGACTGGTCTGAAGGCGTGCAGGTGCCCTCAGTGCCTTTTCAGCAGTTCCCTACTGAAGACTGGAGTGCCCAGCCGGCCACTGAAGACTGGTCTGCAGCTCCCACTGCTCAGGCCACTGAATGGGTAGGAACAACCACTGAGTGGTCTTAAGCTGGTCTTCCACAAAGGCAAACAAAATGGAAATAGAAATGGAAAAGGTTGACGGAAAATAAAGTTTGTAAAAAAAAAAAAAAAAGACGAAACCAGAGAAAGAGACAAACCATAGGAGACTCTAATCTCAGGAAACAAACTGCGGTTTGCTGGAGTGGTGGGGGATGGGAGGGATGGGGTGACTGGGTGATGGACATTGGGGAGGGTATGTGCTGTGGTGAGTGCTGTGAATTGTGTAAGACTGATGAATCACAGACCTGTACCCCTGAAACAAATAATACATTATATGTTAATAAAAGGGAAAAAAAAAGAACATTTGTTACCAGTAGAACTATCCTAAAAGAATGTTGGAAGGAAGTTCTCTAAACAGAAAAGAAATAAGAGAAGGAACTTTGGAACACCATGAAGCAAGGAAGAGAGTACACAGTATGCAAAAATATGGACAAATACAATAGGCTTTCCTTCTCCTTTTGAGTTTTCAAAATTATGTTTGATGGTTGAAGCAAAATTTATACCACTGATGTAGTTCTTAATGTGTGTAGAGGAAATATTTAAGACTATTATAAAAAAAAAAGAAAGGAAAGAGATGTGAAGAGAGGAAAGGTTTCTATACTTCACTCAAACTGGTAAAATGATACCAGTTGACTATGATAAGTTATGTATGTAAAGTATAATACCTAGAGCAACCACTAAAAAAGCTATACAAAGAGATACATTCAAAAACACTATAGATAAATCAACATGGAAAAAATGTTCAACTAACCCAAAAGAAGGCAGAAGAAAGTAAACACAAAAACAAAAATCAGAGAGCAAATGGAAAACAAAAACAAAATACCTTAAGCCATAACATATCAATAACTACATTATATACAACTGGTTTAAATACATCAACTAGAAGACAGAGATCGCAGATTGGATTTTAAAATATGACCTGCCCAACTATATTTGCTGTCTACAACAATTTCATTTCAAATAATGACGCAGGTAGATGAAAGTAAAAGGATGGGGAAATATATGTCATGCAAGCATTAATAAAAGAAAGCAAGAATGGCTATATTAATATCAGATAAAGTAGGCTTCAGAGCAAAGGAAATTACCAGAGACAGAAAGGTACTTTATAAAATAATAAAAGAGGGGCGCCTGGGTGGCTCAGTCGTTAAGCATCTGCCTTTGGCTCGGGTCCTGGGATCCAGCCCCGCATCGGGCTCCAGCCTCAGCAGAGAGCTTGCTTCTCCCTCTCCCTCTGCTCCCCCTTCCCACTCATGCTTTCTTTCTCTTTCTCTCTCAAATAAATAAATAAAATCTTTAAACAAATAAAAAATAAAATAAATAAATAAAATGATAAGAGTCGATCGACTAAGAAGTCATAGCAATTCTGTGTATGTACCAAAAAAAACAGAACTGCAAAATATGTGAAGAAGAAACTGATAGAAGAAATAGACAAATGCACAATTATAGTTGAAAACTCCAACATCTCTAAACAATTGATATAACAACTAAAGCAAATATCAGCAAGAGTGTAGAAGAACTCTCCAACATCATTAGCCAATATAGAACACCTGACCCAACAGCAGAATATACATTCTAATACGCATTCTTTTCAAGTGCCCATTGAACATACACCAAGATATAAATTGGACAATAAAACGAACCTCAACAAATTTAAAGGAACTGAAAAAAAATAGAACAAAGCTAAAAATCAATAACAGAAAAATATTAGGAAAATATCTGAATACTTGGAAACTAAACAACTCACTTCTAAGTAATTCACGGATCCAAGAAGTCTTAGCCCCACATCACATCGGGCTCCTTGCTCAGCAGGGAGCCTGCTTCTCCCTCTGCCTCTGCCTGCCACTCCCCCTCTTGTGCACTCTCTCTCTCTGTCAAATAAATAAATAAAATCTTTTTTAAAAAATGAAAATGTAATATATTGGGCACCTGGGTGGCTCAGTCTGTTAAGCGTCTGCCTTCAGCTCATGTCATGATCCCAGAGTCCCCAAATGGAGTCCTGCACTGGGCTTCCTGCTGAGCAGGGAGTCTGCTTCTCCCTCTGACCCTCACCCAACTTGTGGTCACTCTCTCTCTCTCTCTCAAATAAATAAATAAAATCTCTAAAAAAAAGAAAAAAATGTAATATATTAAAATTTGTGAAACAAAGTAAAGCAATGCTAAGAGAAAAATGTATAGCACTAAATGCATACATTAGAAAAGAGGAAACGTCTCAAATCAGTAATCTAAGCTCCCACCTCAAGGACTTAGAAAAAAGAAAAGGCAAAATATACTAAAAGCAAGGAGAAGGAAGGAAATATAAAGACAAGGGCAAAAATCAATGAAATTGAAATCAATGGAGAAAATCAAAAGAGTTGGTTCTTTGAAAAGATCAATAAAATTGACTAACTTCTAACAAGACTAACAAAGAAAAAGAGGGCCAAGACACAAATTACCAATATTGTGAATGAAATAGGAGATATCACTATAGCCCCTGCAGACATCAAAAGGATAATAAGGGAATTCTACAAACAATTCTACATACATAAATTTGACAACTTTGGTGAAATAGACCAATTCCTAAACACACACACACACACACACACACACACACACACACACACACACTACCACAACTCACTCAAAATGAAATAGGCCATGTGAATAGTCACATGACTATATAGAAATTGAATTCATATTTTTAAAATTAAAAAGAAAAGAAATCTCCAGGCCCAAATGGCTTTTTTTTTTAAAGATTTTATTTATTTCTTTGAGAGAGAGAGAATGAGAGAGAGAGAGAGAGAGCACAAGAGGGGGGAGGGTCAGAGGAAGAAGCAGTCTCCCTGCTGAGCAGGGAGCCCGATGCAGGACTCCATGCGGGGCTGGGGGGTGCGGGGAACAACTCCGGGATCATGACATGAGCTGAAGGCAGACGCTTAACCAACTGAGCCACCCAGGCACCCGCCAAATGGTTTCACTAGACAATTCTACCAAATGTTTAAAGAATTAATGCTGGGATGCCTGGGTGGCTCAGTCAGTTAAGTGTCTGCCTTCCGCTCAGGTCATGATCACAGGGTTCTAGGATTGAACCCCACACCAGGCTCTCCACTCAGCAGGATATCTGCTTCTCCCTCTCTGTCCCTCCCCCTGCTTGTGTTCTGTCTCTCTCTCAATTAAATAAATAAAATCTTAAAAAAAAAAAGAAGGCTCTTTCAATATTCAAAAATTAATCAGTATAATTAACCATATTAACAAGCTACAGAAGAAAAATTACATGATCATATCAATTGATGCAGAAAAGACATTTGACAAATTTCAACATTTATTCATGATACAAATTGTCAGAAAAATATGAATAGAAGGGAAACTCCTCAATTTGGTAAAAGCATCTACAAGAAGCCCACAGCAACATTATACTTAATGGTGAAAGACTGAATGCCTTCTCCTCCCAAGATAGGAATAAGACAAGTATATTCACTCTCATCACTCTTATTCAATATGGTGCTGGAAGTTCTACCCTGTGCAATAAGGCAAAACAAAACAAAGTAAAAAAGCAGAGCACTGAGTACTGAGTTCAGCAAAGTTGCAAGATATAAGATAAGCATACAAAAATCAATTTATTTCTGTATACTAGCAATGGACATGTGGACGCACACCAAGACTAAAAATATAGTACCATTTACAATCACCCCAAAAATAATGAAACACTTGAGTGTAACTCTAATAAAATATACACAGGACTTTTGTGCTGAAAAATATAAATACAATGCTGTTGAAAGAAATTTTTAAAAATCTAAATAAAAGGGGGCCCCTGGGTGGCTCAGTCAGTTAAGCATCTGCCTTCAGCTCGGGTCGTGATCCCAAGGTTCTGGGATTGAGCCCCACATCGGCTCCCTGCTCAGCGGGGAGCCTGCTTCTCCCTCTCCCTCTGCCTGCCACTCACCCTGCTTGTGCTCTCTCTCTATCTCTTTCTGTCAAATAAATAATAAAATAAAAAAATTTTTTTAATCTAAATAAAAGGAGAGATATAGTGTGTTTGTGAACTAGAAGATTCAATATAGGTGAAATATCGATATGTTGATAAAGACAGATAAACATAAATGGAATATAGAATATAGATGAAGATGCAGCATAGATGTCAATCTTCCTGAAATTGATGTACAGATATAATGCAATTCCTATCAAAATCCCAGCAAGATTTTCTTGCAGATAAGGCAGTTATTCTAAAATTCAAATGGAAAGGCAAGGAACTAGAATAGCTAAAAATAATTTTGAAAAAGAAGAAAAAAAGTGGAAAGAATAAGTCCACAGTAATCAAGATTGTATGGTATTGGTGGAGGGATAGACACAGAGATCAATGGAATACAATGGACAACCCAAAAGCAGAAACACACAAATAAGCACAACTGATTTTTGACCAGGTGCAAAAGCAATTCAATGGAGAAAAGACAGCCTTTTCAGCAAATGGTGCTGGAGCAATTGTACATCCATGACCAGAAAATGAACCTCAACCTAAATCTCACACCTTATACAAAAATTAACTCAAGGGACGCCAGGGTGGCTCAGTCAGTTAAGTGGCTGCCTTTGGCTCAGGTCACGATCCTGGGGTGCTGGGATCAAGTCCCATATCGGGCTCCCTGCTCAGCGGGGAGCTCACTTCTCCCTCTGCCTGCCACTGCCCCTGCTTGTGTGTTCTCTCTGACAAATAAATAAAAATCTTTTTAACAAAATGAACTCAAAATGGATCACAGACTTAAATGTAAAATGTAAAACCATAAAACATTTAGAAAAAAAAGAAAATATTCGGGATCTAGAGCTAGGCAGAGTTCTTAGGCTTGACACCAAAAGCATGATCCATAAAAGGTGAAACTAGCAAATTGGATTTCATCAAAATTTAAAATGTTTGTTCTGTAGAAGACCCTGTTAAGATAAAAAAGACAAGGTACAGGGGCGCCTGGGTGGCTCAGTCAGTTAAATGTCCAACTCTTGATCTCAGCTCAGGTCTTGATCTCAGGGTCATGAACTCAAGCCCCACATTGGGCTCCATGCTGGGCATGGAGCCTACTTTAAAAAAAAAAGAAAGAAAGAAAGAAAGAAAAGACAAGTTACAGAGTGGGAGAAAAATATATGAAAACCATATACCTGACAAAGGATGAGTACTTAGAATATATCAAGAACTCTCAAAATTCAACAGTAAAAAAAGCAAAAAATTCAGTTAGAACACAGACAAAACACATGAAGAGACATTTCACCAAAGAAGATAGATGACAAATAAGCACATGAAAAGATGTTCTTCATTATTAGCCATTAGAGGAATATGCATTAAAACCACTATGAGAAATCATCACATACCTACCAGCATGGCTAAAATAAAAAGTAACGACAATACCAAATTCTGACAAAGATGCAGAGAAAATGGACCACTAATATATTGCTGGTGGTAATGTAAAATGATAGGATTTGGCAGGTGTTTTTTTAAACTAAAATGCCATTATAACCCAGCAATTGAGCACCTGGGCATTTATCTCAGAGATATGAAGACTTACATTTACACAAAAATCTGTACACCAATGTGTGTTGCAGCTTTATTCATAATAGTTCCACAGTAGAAACAATCCAGATGTCCTTCAGTGGATGAATGATTAAACAGATGTAGTACATCTAGACCTTGGAACACTACTCAGCAGTAAAAGGTAATAAACTATTGATAGATGTATAACATAGGTAGATCTCCAGTGAATTATGCTGAGTGAAAAAAAAAGCCAGTTCCAGAAGGTTACATATTAGATATTTCATTCATGTAACATTCTTGAAATGCCAAAATGATAGAAACAGAGGATAGATTAGTGGTTGCCAAGGGTTATGGAGCGGGTGGGAGCAGGAAAGAAGGGGATGTGGTTATAAATGGCAACATGAGGGATCCTTATAATGATCAAAGTATTTTGTGTCTTGACTATCAATGTCAATATCCTGGTTATGATACTGTACTATAGTTTTTCATGATGTTACCATCGAGGAAGACAGGGTAAAGGGTGCATGGAATCTTTATTATTTCTTCTTTTTAAAATATTTTATTTATTTTTTATTTTTCTAAGTAATCTCTACACCCAACGTGGGGCTTGGACTCACAACCCTGAAATCAAGTGTCACATGCTCCACCACCTGAGCCAGCCAGACACCCCAGGATCTTTATTATTTCTTACAAGTGCTTGTAAATCTACATTTATCTCAAAATTAAATTTTTTAAAACCAAAAAAAACTCCTTATTTTTCATAAGTCTGCAAGGTTCAGCTAATATAGACCAGGTGGCTCTGCTGATCTTGGCTGGCCTCACTCATGTCTGTAGGGGTTTAGCAGATTGAAGCTGGGTTCCTCTGTTTCAGCTGGGGAACTTGACTCCATTCCATGTATCTCTCATCCTCAGCAGGCAGGCCTGGATATGTTCTCATAGCTACTGCACAGTGCACAAGAAAGCACAAGAAAGCAAGCTCTAACGGACAAATCTTTTCAAGCCCAGGCTTTGGTCTTGGCTTTGACATTGTAAAGGTTGAAGCAAGTTACAAACTTAGCCCAGAATCGAAGGACAAAGCAGATCATTCTAGTCATGATGGGGGGGCACCACAAAGTCATACACATGGGCACAGGGAGAGAGGAACAGCTGGGGCCATAAAGGACTCTATGGCACTATCCCAGATCACCTCCAGGACTAAAACCACCTATCACCACTCTTCCTTCACTTAGTAAGGCTGTGGCTATTCTGTGTTGTTTCTGGGACCTTACAACAGGATCTGACTGTTTCTTGGCCAAAGAGAGGTCACAGGGGAAGAGAATATACAACGTCTAAAACCTTCCTACATTGAGCCAATCTGCTTCTAAATGTCCCACTGCCACGTGCCTCCACCCTCCCCAGACTCAGTCTTTACTCCATCTGCCACCCGCATCTGAGTCTCTTCCCACCCCTTACATCTTCTAGAATCCTGTGCCTTTCCTAGCACTCACCAGACTTTATTTCATTTGAATCCCTGTCCAAAGCCACTGAGATCAGTTCTTTGGGCCTCCCATTTCCTTATCTGCAAAAGATGGATAATAGCAGTACCTACGTGGCTTCATCAGTGTTGATGTGAGGATGAAACAATGTAATTCACATAATGAGTTTACCCTGCCTGGTGCATAGTAATCCCTCAATAAATTGTAGTGGCTTTATTTTCTTTTAAGATGGAAGCAAGGGGCATGCTTAGTCTGACTGCAGGCCATTAAAGGAATTCCAGCATTCCAAGTGAGAACTCTGAAAATATTTCTCCATAGAAACACTGTTCTACACTGTGATTGTATTCTGTATGACTATTATTACTCTTAACGATTCTATGGTTCTGGTGTTTCAGCTTAATCCTGCACGTTAAGTGGGCTCTCCTGGACTGGCCTGGCAAAATTAACCACCATGAGGAACACTATTGCAGGGGGAAAAGGTGAGTTCCAAACAAGTCCCTTACAAATGAACTTTTGAAATAGAACCCACTCTTAAGTCTGATATTGCCTAGAAATGAATGTTATGAAGGCAGATACTTTGGCAGATACCGGAAATGTATCAGGCTGATATATTCTAGTGACCTGGACTCTCTGAGCAAGAACCTTATGAATGAGGCCAGATGGCAGAGGTACTCAGGGCCAAGGGTAGGAAGCAAAACCGTGTTGTAAAGAAAACTAGGTAGACTTCGGGGGTTGGGGGTCAATGGGAGATCACAATCAATACCTGGGTATGCAGCAGTTAGGGAGACTTGGAAAGGAGCCTCGAAAACGGGGAAAACAGGGTCCTGAGAGCAATACCAGAGGGGTACCTACTTGATGTTGAGAAGCCTATGAAAATGAAAAGGTTGTAGCCAAAAGCTTGTAGAAGTCTATCTGGGACCCAGGCAAGAAAGGAATAGCTAGACCCGTAATTTGTTTTTTTTTTTAAATTTTTTTTATTTTTAAGATTTATTTGAGAGAGCGAGAATGAGAGAGAGTACATGAGAGGGGGGAGGGTCAGAGGGAGAAGCAGACTCCTCGCTGAGCAGGGAGCCATATGCGGGACTTGATCCTGGGACTCCGGGATCATGACCTGAGCCGAAGGCAGTCGCTTAACCAACTGAGCCACCCAGGCGCCCGCTAGACCCGTAATTTGAAAATGAAATGGAATGGCTAGAAGGAATAGAAAAACTATAGCTTCAAGGCTAAGAGCCTAGAAGAAATGGGTTCAGGGCCTCCAGGTGGAAGTGCTTGATAAGGTTTGAATAATGCTATAATCTGAAGCTAGGCTTCGAGGTTTCAGGATACAACCAGGAGACACTCAGGACTTTTCACTGTAGTAAAGTTCAACATGAAGTTGACCTTCTAGGTGCACAGGACAGCAAAGAGCAGAACGGGCGAACGTGAGAGAAGGGATATTGCAAGAAACAAAGCAAGTGGGGAGAGGAGCTGGGTTCTGTGGAGGTACAGTCCCCTTTGCACACTGGGCTAGTGAGAGCCAAGAAGGCACCTGAGTGAGAGCCAGCCATCCCTAGAGCCAGGTCTACTGGGCTCGGTCTCACACCAGTTAGCGCGCCAGGCACCCCTCCCATCTGCTGTGTCTGGGACTCCATGTGAACCCTAACATGGCACCAAGATCTTTAGTGATGTTGAAATGCAGCTAGCTAACAAGGGAGCTCAGGGATGTATCCTACATTCCTGCCTACCACATACGCCTCTCCTTGAATAGCTTCACTGATGGAATCCCACTTCTCCTGAGGCTCCCATCTCCTTATTAAAGTACTGTCATGTGAAGAATTCTCTCCAATCAGCTGGATCAAATCTGCCCCCTGGTGACTCCTAATCCCCGGTTCTTGTTCTGCTCTCTGGAGCTAAGTAGCTAAATCTAATCCTTCTTCCCCCTGAGACCCGGTTCCATTCCCCTTAAATCTTCTCTCTTCTAGGATAAATGGCCCACATTACATAACCTTAATAACCAAGTCAATGAACATTTCCTGATGGCCTTAATGTGAGCAGAGCACAGTGCACATGCTAAGTGAATAAATTGTCTCTTTGCTCTTCAGGTAAACAGGGTGAAGGCAGAAGCATGGATAAAAAACTCTAATACAAAGAAGACTGGTAAGTACTATAAAAAATGTTCAGAACTTGCTATGGTGAAGCTCTGGGGAAAGTGTAGACCAGTTCATCTTGGGGGGATCTGAAAAGGCTTCTAAGAAGTGGGATTTGAGCTGGAACTTTAAAGACTTTGACAAGCAGATGCAGGGAAAGAGGCGGGTGGTAAACCAAGCAGAGAATATGGGCTGGAAGACCCTGGTTCTTAATTTCCTACTTGATTTTGAGCGTATCTAAAATGAGGGCCCAAGGGCGCCTGGGTGGCTCAGTTGGTTAAGCGACTGCCTTCGGCTCAGGTCATGATCCTGGAGTCCCGGGATCGGGTCCCGCATCGGACTCCCTGCTCGGCGGGGAGTCTGCTTCTCCCTCTGACCCTCCCCCCTCTCGTGTGCTCTCTCTCTCATTCTCTCTCTCTCAAATAAATAAATAAAATCTTTAAAAAAAATAAAATAAAATGAGGGCCCAAACTAAATGATCTCTAACATCTAGTGATAGAGACCCAAAAGGGTATGAGTTGGAGCATTCCAACTTAGGCAAGAGTCCAAACCTCCCCATATCTAGGGAGTTGTGTGCATGTTTGGGACAGGGGATTGGCGGGGGAGGATAAGAAGAGGATCATTCCTTCACTGCTCTGCCTGTCACACTGATACAGCACCCTTCACCACTCTGACTGTGTCATTTTGGGATCCTGACAATGTCCTTCTTAGAATGGTGTCCTTCTTAGAATACCAGTTACTATGAGCCACACACCTTTGGAAACATTACATATTTACACTTACATCCCACTAAATCCTCAGAACAACCCTATGAGATAAGTACAAGTTTGAGTTTTCCCACTTTACAGATGAGAAAACAGAGGCACCAAGAGATTAAATATCTTGCCCAAAGTTCCTTGAGCTAGTCTTACAGTGGAGCTGGGATTTGAACTCAGGGAGTCTGGCTCCCTGCTTTACTTCTTCACTAGAAACCACAAGGGCAGAACAGGGCACAGCTCTGTAGACACGCTCTGCCTCACCAGGAGAGAGTACTGTGACACCGTTGCTCCTTATGCATTCTTATTACCTCAGCCTAAGACAACATCAGCTTTCTTGGCAGCCAGAGCACATCGATGATTCATGCCACGCTGGAGCTCACCTAAAGCCCCTAAAACACTTTTGACAGGAGCTGGTCTTAAACCAGGTCAGTCCCATTCTGCTCACATGTAGTTAATTAGTTAATCCCAAATGCTGGGTTTTTCTTTAAGCCTCATGATAGGCTAGGTTTTAGCTCATAGTTTCACCCAACAATAATTTTGAAACACAATATGTTAGCCAATATTATCTCTCTCAGTTCAGTAATAATATAACATGAACAGCTAGTGGTCATTGGAGCATTCCTTAACTGAATGTTTTTCATATAGTATCTTCTAGAGTATTTTAGTCTTTACCTGAAGTCTTTTATGATTGTTGTTGTTGTTACTGTTATTCCCATTTAAGGGGACAGAAAATCAAGGCTAGCGAATTTAAGAAACTTGCTCGACATCCAGATAGGAAGTGACAGACGCAAGGTTCATATCCAGGTGGGGCCAGAACTCACCCACAGGCTTTCTCACCTCTTTGCGTCATCCATAACCTTGCCATTATCTAAGTCAATCACAAAGAAATGTCAAACAGGGGCGCCTGGGTGGCCATTATCTAAGTCAATCACAAAGAAATGTCAAACAGGGGTGCCTGGGTTAAGTGTCTGCCTTGGGCTCAGGTTATGATCCTAGGGTCCTGGGATGGAGCCCGCATTGGGCTCCCTGCTCCGCAGGAAGCCTGCTTCTCCCTCTCCAACTCCCCTTGTTTGTGTTCCCTCTCTCACTGTCTCTCTCTCTGTCAAATAAATAGATAAAATCTTAAAAAAAATAAAGTCAAAACCCCTGTGCCCTTTCGAAAGAAAGAAAGAAAGAAAAAAATGTCAAACAGAATCAAGGACAGAACTCAGAGTTAAATCATGTCCCACCAGGCATATATGAACCAATTATCCATGTAGTCATACAGAGATGGAGGCATTTTTTTACATAATATTGAAAGGCCCGAGAAGTGCAGTAATTTGCCCGAGCTCACACACTGAGGAAAGAAAGGCAAATGTAAAGAAAACAATCCAGAGAGCTCAGGCTCTTCATTCCATCAGCACACACTTGGAGTAGAAATCAGTAGAAATAAACCCAAAAAGTTTTGCAATTACAGTGTCATCTAGACTGCAATTCTCCAATTTATTCATATGCATCTCATGAGAATCTTTATCAAAAACCTTGCCAGAGTGAGCGTGCACTTTATCAAACACACCCCCTGACCCGTGTCAGGGATGAGTTTGCCCTGACGGACTCTCAGCGAACACTCGGAACACCCATTCTAATGGTTCGTAAATCATCTGTTTAATAATGCAGTGCAGGATTTTGCGGGGAATTGCCGTAGGTGAGCTTTTTGAGGCACCCCAACTCCCTAAAAACTGTACAAGTCATGTCCAGTCATTTGGCGCCACCGCACTACAGTGGCCCTGGGGCTCCCCGCACTGGGCCTGTCTTTCCTTTTTTTTTTTTTTTTTTAAGTTTTTTTTTTTTTTTTTGAGAGAGAGAGAATGAGAGAGAGAGAGCATGAGAGGGAGGAGAGTCGGAGGGAGAAGCAGACTCCCTGCTGAGCAGGGAGCCCGATGTGGGACTCGATCCTGGGACTCCAGGATCATGACCTGAGCCGAAGGCAGTCGCTTAACCAACTGAGCCACCCAGGCACCCCTGGGCCTGTCTTTCCTTAGAGCTGATAACGCACCTCCGCTATCTCCTCTTGACTGAAAGCTTCAACTTTTCTCTATCATTTCCCACTGAGACTGTTTTCCATAGTAGAGAAGAGACAAGTCACATTGAACCAGAATGGTTCTGTTTTCTTTCTGCTTTCTGTTGTAAATGAATCTTAAAAAAAAACAAAAAAACAAAAGCACTCTTCTTTTGTCATTAATATTTTCTCTTTTTTAAAGATTTTACTTATTTATTTGAGAGAGAGAGAGCGCGCGTGCGTGCGCACACCCACACAGCGGGGGAGAGGCAGAGGGAGAAGGAGAAGCAGACTCCCTGCTGAGCAGGGAGCTGGACGTGGGGCTCCATCATGACCTGAGCCGA